TATAAACTGAGAAAAGCCTTGTATGGTCTGAAACAAGCACCGAGAGCCTGGTACGAAGCACTGTCAGATTTTCTTGTAGAATCAGGCTTCTCTAAGGGAAAGATAGATCCAACTCTCTTCATTAAAAGACACAAGGGTGACATCATGCTGATACAAATTTATGTTGACGACATCATTTTTGCCTCGTCGAATCCAAACTTCTGCAAAAAGTTCAGCAATCTGATGCGCACCAAGTTCGAGATGAGTATGATGGGAGAGTTGAACTTCTTTCTGGGGCTACAGATCAAGCAATTGCCAGACGGAATATTCATAAATCAGTCCAAGTACATCCACGATATGCTAAAGCGCTTCAAAATGGACAGCAAGTCAACGATGAAAACCCCCATGTCTCCCTCACAAAAGCTCGACTCTGACCCTTCCGGGAAACCAGTCGATGCTACCAATTATCGGGCTATCATCGGTTCCTTGCTGTACCTTACATCTAGCCGACCAGACATTGTCTTTGCAACCTGCCTATGCGCCCGCTTTCAAGCAAATCCGAAGGAATCACATCTGAATGCTGTTAGAAGAATACTGAGATATCTCAAAGGAACAGTCAATCTGGGCCTTTGGTATCCCAAGGAATCAGGTTTTGACCTTGTTGGATACTCAGATGCTGATTTCGCGGGTTGCAAACTGGACAGAAAGAGTACATCTGGAGGTGCTCAATTTCTTGGTGATAAATTGGTATGCTGGTCCTCCAAAAAGCAGAATTGTGTGTCCACTTCTACAGCTGAGGCAGAATATGTCGCGGCTGCTAGCTGTTGCTCACAGATATTATGGATGAGGACCCAGCTGAAAGACTACGGGTTCACATTCTCACACATCCCGATCTACAGCGACTCTCAAAGTGCAATAGCCATCACGTGCAATCCGGTCCATCATTCAAGGACAAAGCATATTGATCTCAGATATCATTTCATAAAGGATCACGTTGAGAAAGGCACCGTGGACATGTACTTTGTGTCTACGGAATTGCAACTGGCTGATATATTCACTAAGGCCCTGGATGAAAAGAGATTCAATTTTCTGATCTCTAAGCTGGGAATGCTGAACCTGAACGAATGAGTAACTCAGAACTGTGTGTGTGCGTGTGACTTCATAATTTTCATTCTAAAACATTTTTTCAAAATTTGCTTTTTTTTATTTTCATGCATGCATCTCAGTTACTTTATCATTATGTTTGCATCATTTTTTACTTGCATAAATTGAGGGGGAGCTTTTCAAAATCTGTTCATCTGTTGAGGGGGAGTATTTCTAAATTGTATAAAATTTGAGGGGGAGTTTGATAAAATTTTCATTCGAAAAGGAAGCAAGTGTTGAGGGGGAGCATTTTTTTTAAATTGAAATCAGACTGATTTGGGCCCGTTACATTTTGAAAAATCTCCCGGGCCTATTTAAACTTCGAAAACGCGCAACCCTCCCTTCCATTTCTCTTCCTGCGCGAAACTCTCACAATCCCCCAAGCTCCAAATCTCGCATCTCCCTTCTTCCTCAAAGCTCTCAACACTCCTCTCGGTAAAAACACCATCCCTTGTATATTTGGTTATCTCTTTACAGGTATCTTGCAAAGATTATGAACAGAGAAGACGAAGAAAAGGTCATTGCGCAATCTCTGAGTACTTGCGCGAACCGGGGTTGTGCGATATGATTACCTGCGCGATCCTGGTCCTTGCGCTATCTCAGATCTGCGCAAAATGACAGGCTGCGCGATTTACAGATCTGGTGCAACCCACAGACGTTGCGCGATTAGTGTTCTTGCGAAAACTCTGAGATGTTGCGCGATCCCGGATTGCGCGATATGTCTATGTTGCGCGATCTTGGAGACCTGCGCGAACATCATCCTGCGCGATTTAAGATTTGCGCAAAAAGATGTGATGCGCAATCTTTAAGCCGCGCGATTTGAGTATCTTGCGCGTTTTAGCCCTGCGCGATTTGGCCTGCACAATTTGGCCTGCGCAATTTGGGCTGCGCGTTTTGGACCTGCGCGATTCTACCTTTAGACAAATCATTAGGGCTACACGATCAGGACGGCGCGATCTTGTTGCTGCGCGATTGTTACTCCTTGCGCGACCCATCTACTTTGCGCGATCGTGATAGCCTGCGCGATCCAAACAAGTTGCGCAATCTGTCACTTCAAGTCGCGAAATTAACCAAGCCCAGCCCGGACCAAATCCTTAGTGAAAAATTCATTATGTGGGCCAAATTCAACCAAGTACAGGCCCAACTTTGACCAAATTCATTATGCTCTGATACCATTCTCCCCCTTTGTGATCAGATGTCCGTTGTTGGCTCTTGTGGGTTCTTCTGCCTCTTGTAGTAGTTGCTTTGCAGTGCTAGAGCATGTTCATATTGGCGCAACATTCTCCTCTTTTCGAGTCGAGTGTTGATTGCATCTAGCACCGCCTTTAGTCGATCAAATTCTTTCAGTTTATTCTTTCTTTGGTCTCAACTTCTTTTATCTTCTTGGAAAGGCTTCATGAAAAAAATCCTTACAATCTCCCCCTTGGTGTTATTTATTCAATTTGTTCTTTGATGCCGGGAGTTGAGGGATTCTTCAAAATCTTGCTTTTAATCCTTGCTTTCCAGAAACTGCTCTTGATCAGCTTGAATGAAGTCATATGGCGCCTTCTAGAATGAATGAATGAAGTCATATGGCGCACAAGGAATTCATCTTCAATATTTGATCATCCGGCCTGTGTATCCTCCAGAATGTAGCCTTTTCTGACTATTCGATCGTGAATGCTTTTGAGGAACAATTGTCGGTAGCACAGCGGAAAATGATGGTTGACTTGTGAGCATAGCTGACCATTAGATCTGAAGCTGACTTGGTAGTTGATGAATCTGAAAGAGTGGAGAGCCGTCATTTTTAGTTGGAGGAGAGAAGTGTCTGAGAATGATTTTTGAGAGTAAACAGCGTGTGGACCACTCTCCCCCTTTATGACAATCCAATGAATCGGGATGTCTTGCCTTTATTCTTTTATTCTGGAAAACTGAAAATGCAAAAAAATGAAAAGATAAGAACCGGAGACACTGTGGTGTTCCGTTAACACAACATCAATGTAAACATTGATTTGTGGCCTGTATATAATGATGGAAACATTGTAGCTCTAACAGGACTTCCAACCAATCATTGTGAAACATCTGAAGTAGATGTCACTCTGGTTGTTATGGCATGATCACTAGGATCAGCATGGATAATTGTAGCCCCCCGGGATCATGTAGACACCCGTTATCATTACTATAGAGATGAACTCTAAATGATGGCCTGAAAATGTTGGTGATTTCTATGTTGCAACATCAGGACTTCCATCCAATCATCGGTCTGCATCTATATTAGATGAGCCCTATGGAAGTTCTCGCATGGTCACTTGGACCTGCAACTGACTCTAAAAATGTGTCTGTGTCCTAGAAAATTCAAAACATTTAGGGTGAGATAACTAGACACGACGTGATCAATGAAAGTTCAGTGGCATGGGGCTGAGGGCCACTGTAGTTACTATCAGTCGCCTCAGAAGGAGACGGTGATAAGAGATGAGGTTCCCCGTGAAGAGTGATTAAACACCTGTCTGTTGGGAGACAGATGAGTGGTCTAGGGTAGGGTTGTGCACGCGCCGTTTGGACAAAATGCAGCGACTTCTACCCGGGATCTGAATAAATTCAGTCCTGAACCTATGGGGATTGTCCGGAGTATTTGAGTGACTGGGATTGATTCCTCGATTGATAGCTCATTTTAGGTAGCAGATTTGTCATTGATTATTGTCTTCTTGCTCATCGGAGCCTTCTGCTTCCTCACTCTCATAATATTCACTCAGTTACTCACTCACTCTCGGCTTTGTCCCTTGGGTAGGCTTAGTTGGGTTTACTAAGCCATTAGGACATCTCTCTCATTGATATGTTTCTTTATTCTCTCTCTGTACTCCCCCTCAACTGGAGCACTGAGTAGGATGCCTTTGACGATGTTTGGCGCTTGGGAGGAGAACTTTGAAAACTCCCCCTTAAAATTTGCATCCTTGAGAGAATTTTTGCATTTAATCTAGGTTGGTTTTTGGGTTTTGGGTTGGCTAGATGATTGGGGTTGTTGGTTGTTAGAGGATTCAGGTTGTGGTTATTGGCTAGTTGACGCAACATGCTCAAGTGTCTGTTGCCTCTTATTCTCCCCCTCATGAGGATCCGAGTCATCGGGGTCCTCATGCGAACGTTTGTGACCAAGGAGACTATCACGGCATGAGCTGTCAGGTTTAAGGATCCGAAGAAGGTCTTTTTGTTTCTGGGTGAGGTTGCCTTCTTCGGTAGCTAGTAGTTGATCTAGCATCAGGGTTTCGAGTACCTCGAACGGTAAAGTTTTAGGGTCAGGAAAAGGTGTGGTCGAAGTAGGGGAGGACACTAGTTCTGTATCCTGGGTTCCCCTTGAAGCAGTAGGCGAGTGAGGTAGGGTAGTGGATGGTTCAGAGGTTTGTTGGGTAGGTATGATAGGAAGTGGTTGGGTTTCTTGGGTATGTGAGGATGTTGGTTGGGGTTTCTAAACAATTTTCTAGGGAAGAAAGGGAAGAGGGTTGAGAAACTGTGATGGACTGAGAGGATGTTTTTAATATGGATATTTCTTTCAAAAGTTGATCCTTTTCTTTTTCTAAAACCTGTTTCTCCTTTTCAAAAGATTCTTTTAGTTCAGTAAACTTTCTCACAAGAGGTGGAATGTATGCTGGTTTGACTACAGGTTCTGAAGTTGAAGGTTCCTCTCCATCTTGCACAGTCTCCTTTTCAGGAGCATAAGTTATGACTTCATCAGCAGGTGTTAGCGGGGGTTCTTTGGTTTTGTAACTCTTGTTCAACTCTGTGTAGTCAAAAGGAACCTCGACACCAGCCTTTGTCTTTCTCTTTTCGTCCTCGAGGGCATTCGTTTCTTCAGCTCCAGTGAAGGCCATGAGTTTGGTCAATCCTATTTTCATGTATCTAACATCATAGAGTTGTCTACAGTTAACCTTTTTCAGGTTCTGAGGATTGGTCAAACCCAGGCCCTCCTTGGCATTATAGAAACGAGTGTCCTTAGGCTGGTTAAGGAAAATAGTCTGGTCTGTTTGGTCCCTCTTGGCTAACAGGTCTTCGAGTTCTTTAATTTTAGTGTAAAGAGCACCCCTTCTTTCCATAAGTAAATTATTGACACCAAAAAGTCTAATTCTCTCTTTCTCAGTTGTTCTAAGCTTCTCTGTCAGTTCTTTTTCGCTAGCACTAAGTCTCTTATTTTCAGTTGTGAGCTTAGTGATAGTTTTCTCTGAATTGATTATTTTGATGTTTGAGCATGTCTGTTTTTCACGCAGTTGATTATAGACATCATACAATCTATTGTATTTCTCCTCTAGCTCCTTAAATTTATCATGCATATCTGTTTTAGAGCAAGCAGAATTAAAAGGGTTAGGAGTACTTACAGTGTTGTCTGCATTCTTGTTTTGAGCAGAGAGGACAGTCACTTTATCAGCAATATTGGGAGTGGTCATGATTGACTGTTGAAAATTGATCGTTGACGTGTGGTTGATTGAAGATTTCTGCAAGTTTGTGACTCTTGAAATGTAGCTTTGATTTTGAGAAAATTTAGTCTTAACCTTGAGATTTTTTTTTTTTTTTTACTTAATTTTTTTTTTTTTTTTTTTAATCTCAAGGTTGACTATTTGAAGCTTTGAAAAAGTGTTGAGCTTTGGTTTTGGAGTTTGACCTCAAGGTTTAAAGATGGGCTAAAAATTTGCACTTGAAGTGAGTTTTGAAAAAAAAATGTACTTGTCCAAGTGAAGGGAAAAGTAAGCTAGTTAACTTATCCCACACCTAAACTCTTTGGAAACTTTTGAGCCTATTTATATGGAGCACTCCTTCCTTAAGATTAAATGGTGAAGGAAAAGAGAGGAGCTCTCGCGCACATGGGATTTCGGCTTGTAGTTCAAAAGCGAAAATTCGCACCCCCCCTGCGCGGGCGACCTGCGGACACGATAGTCGCAAAATTCCGCAGGTCACAAAAGACAATTTTGCCCCTCCTTCTTTTTTTTTTTTTTTTAAATTTAATTTGCTCCGATTCGCACACCTAAAGATCGCGCTACCTGATCGCGCAACGAAGTCCAGATCGCGCAACAGGGTACCTGAATCGCGCAACGAAGTCCAGATCGCGCAACAGGGTACCTGGATCGCGCAACAGGGTACCTGGATCGCACAACACCTGATCGCGCAACCTGTCAACCGTGCAACAGATACAATCGCGCAAAAACGCCAGGAGTGTCGCGCAACCTGTCAATCGTCTCTTTTCTACAAGATCGCACAGGGAAAATCGCGCACAAGAAAAATCGTGCAAATACAAATCGCGCACAAGAAAAATCGCGCAAGTACAAATAGCGCATATACAGATCGCGCAAGAGAAAAATCGCTCAAGTAGAAAAATGGCTCAAGTAGAGGATCGCTCAAGTCCTGTAAATCGCGCAAGGCCAGATCTCTTCCTGGAGGAGTTGCGCGAAGATGCAGGATCGCTCAACTCCTGCTTAACCTGTACGCCAAAGTTATGGACGCGATTTTTCACAGAATGAAACCTTGCAAGCCTAGAAACACTTTCCTGTAAACATTTTTCTGCAAAAATAACAACAAAAGTAATATACAAGATCGCGCACGAGGCAGAAAAGTGCCGATGAAAAAACGCGCAAGTCCTGTTCTTCAACTTCAATCGATCGATCAATAGCAGAAACTTCAATCGGTCACACGCTCGGCTCTGATACCAATTGTTGGTCCCTGTTTCTATTCTAGAAATATAAATAGAGCTTATAGAATGAAACCTTCCATTGATAGAGAATGAGTTTTACAGAATGATATTTCAAGGTAGCGTAAACTCTCTCTAGCTCTAGGCTATTGCGCAGGGAATTTCTGGGAAGGCCGCTGATCCCATTCCCTTTAAGGCAATATTTATATGCCTAGGGAATGGGTGATGTGACCTAAGTGTGATTGGGCCCTTTAATGGAGGTGGCCCAAATGCACACATTACAAGGCTTTACCTAAAATAACTAGTCTAATAATAGTCTATTAATTAGACTAAATGCAACACAAATACACTTAAGTAAGACATGATTTAACACCATAAAATATCTCTAACAAACTCTACTCTCCCTTTGTCTATTCTAGCACAAAAAACGTGGGGTGGCCCCCACTCATGTGGGAGGTCATCCCATTGTGTCCCAATGTATACAATCGGTCCCGAAAGTTGTATTTTTCGGACTGTTTTAAGTATATTTTATTTTATCGGGTCAAATAAAATATATTATGTGTTCTTAATCATTATACCCTTTATAATGAATATACATTCCCAACTTTAATTTATAAGTCCCCGAGATTTAATTTCAGGCTTTTATCGGTTAAATTATCAATACCGATATTTGGGCTTCTTTTGACCAATCGGTCAACTCTGGACCTTTCCATGGTTCAAAAGAAGTAGCCACCACTATATAAATATTATCTTGACCAAGATAAATAAAATATATGGTTTCGGGAATTTCGGGCGGTCCCCGTTCCCGGTGTGGGCCCCACGTGCGAATTTATTAATCACGCAAAAGAATTAATAAAAGTTCACAACTTCGTATACTTATTAACCATTCCACAAGGTTCAATACATTATTCACTTAAAAGTAAATACATTTGGGGACGGTGTTACAAGTTCACCCCCCCTTATTTGGGATTTCGTCCCCGAAATCCATGTGTCTAATCGAAAAGAAACGGGTATTGCTCCCTCATTGAGACCTCAGTCTCCCAGGTCTCTTCCTCGACTCGATCACTCCTCCAAAGAACCTTTACCATAGGAATCTCCTTGTTCCTCAGTTTCTTCACCTGTTGACCCACTATCTTTACCAGTTCCACCGCATAATGTAGATCTTCACGTATTTCCACCGGTGGCTTTTCAAGAATATGAGACGGATCTCTCACGTATTTCTTGAGCATCGATACATGAAACACGTCGTGTATCTTCTCAAGTTCCGGCGTCAACTTTAGACGGTATGCCACAGCCCCTATCCTTTCAAGGATTTCAAATGGACCAATGTATCTGGGGTTAAGCTTTCCCCTCGATATAAATCGGATGATACCCTTCCAAGGAGAAATCCTTAGGAAGACCCTATCACCGACTTCGAACTCCAATGGCCTTCTTCGTTTGTCGGCATAACTCTTTTTCCGATCTTGGGCAGCCTTGAGTCTGTCCTGAATGACTTTCACCTTAGCCTTGGTGATTTCAACAAGTTCAATCCCTTCGAGCTTGGCCTCGCCAACCTCGTCCCAACACAACGGTGTTCTGCATTTCATCCCATACAATGCCTCATATGGAGGCATGCCAATACTCGCCTGATAACTGTTGTTATAGGCAAACTCAACTAGAGCCAAATGTTTGTCCCAACTTCCTTGGAACTCCAGAGCACATGCCCTAAGCATGTCCTCCAATATCTGTATCACTCTCTCAGATTGTCCATCCGTCTGTGGATGAAAAGCCGTGCTAAACCTCAGTTTAGTACCCAAAGATGCTTGAAACTTGGGCCAAAATCGAGATGTGAATCGTGGATCCCTATCCGAGACAATGGATATCGGGACTCCATGTAGCCTCACAATCTCCTCTGTGTATAGCTTTGCTAACCTTTCAAGAGGATAAGTAATGTTGATAGGCAAAAAGTGTGCACTCTTGGTGAGCCTATCAACCACTACCCATACTGCATCATAGTTGTTCACTGTTCGTGGTAACCCCACCACGAAGTCCATGGTCACATGCTCCCACTTCCATTCTGGAATGGTCAGTGGCTGCAAAAGCCCTGCCGGGTGCTGGTGTTCTGCCTTAACTTGCTGGCAAGTAAGGCATCGACTCACGTACTCTGCGATGTCTCTCTTTATTCCCGACCACCAGTAACTTTCCTTCAAGTCTCGGTACATTTTAGTACCTCCTGGATGCATAGCATATGCCGAAGAATGGGCCTCCTCTAGTATGGACTTTTGGAGCTCCTCACTCTTTGGTATGCATACACGGTCTTTAAACAGTAAAAGACCGTCACCACGTACCCGAAAGTTCTCCACGGGCCCCTCAAGAATCTTCTCGCGGATCTTCTGACATTCCTCATCAGTGGCCTGGCATCTACTGATCTCACCCAGCAATGTAGGCCTAACCTCGAATCTAGCAATGAGGACCCCACTCGTGGACACCTCCACCTGTGCCCTCAAAGTTCGTAAACATGTGAGTAATGTGCCTGCCGTACTTTTTCTGCTCATTGCATCGGCCACTACATTGGCCTTTCCGGGATGATACTCGATGATCAAGTCATAGTCCTTGATCAACTCCATCCATCTCCTTTGCCTCATATTCAACTCTTTCTGAGTGAATACGTACTTCAAGCTCTTATGATCGGTAAAGATGTGACATGTCTCCCCATAGAGGTAATGCCTCCAAATCTTTAGTGCAAACACTACCGCCCCCAACTCTAGATCGTGGGTAGGGTAGTTTGACCTTAATATCAAAATATCACTTTTATTCTTTCATGGCTTCTTCTCATGAATTAAAAGCATACTTATCACAAATGAAATTTATGGTTGATACTACTATCATGCCATCATATTCATAACGTATAAACATACACAATTTATTCAATAAATTTGTATATTATGCAAACTATACTTATAATGAATAGTAATTTCATTTAGGCATTAATAACCATTAACAATCCATGCAAATCACATTGTGTATTTATTTAGGAAATCTTATGAAATTAACCCAAAGATTATAAGCAATATAGTCGGTCATCCTCACCTCGAGTGAGCTTAAGCGCGTTCTCCGCTTCCCGGTGGAACTTTGACTAATTCCGGCGAACTTTGACCAACTCCGGTGAACTTTGACCAACTCCGGCGAAGCTCAAAAATACTTTAATCAAGTTCCTAACAAGGTCTTAACACCATAAAACCTTAATCAATACAAATAACCTCTAAAAGGTTATTTTCCGGTGAACTTGTCGGTTTGGCTTCTAAGTCCGTTCTTGGACTTAGAACCACACTCCAACCCATTTTTCTACACTTAAATTATGTAGAGCAACCCTCAAGGTTCTTCATATGATATATATCTCATGTGATAGAAGGAAAATAAAGGAAAAGTTAGTATAAGGTCATTACCTTAATCTTTCTCACTTTCTCCCAACTTTTCCTTCCTAAAATCCCTCCTTTGGACTCCTTAAGCTTGAGCTTGTGCTGCAAAAATGGAGGATGGGTTTAGAGCTCCTTCTTTCTCCTCTCTTGGGGGTTGGACGAATAATGGAAGGGAAAGGGGGGTGGGGGTTCCCCTTTGTCTCATTTGGCAAATGAGTGAGGTCAAAGGGTCCCTTTGCACCTCCTCCACTCATCCTCTTGTCAACTCTACTCTCCCTTTGTCTATTCTAGCACAAAAAACGTGGGGTGGCCCCCACTCATGTGGGAGGTCATCCCATTGTGTCCCAATGTGTACAATCGGTCCCGAAAGTTGTATTTTTCGGACTGTTTTAAGTATATTTTATTTTATCGGGTCAAATAAAATATATTATGTGTTCTTAATCATTATACCCTTTATAATGAATATACATTCCCAACTTTAATTTATAAGTCCCCGAGATTCAATTTCAGGCTTTTATCGGTTAAATTATCAATACCGATATTTGGGCTTCTTTTGACCAATCGGTCAACTCTGGACCTTTCCATGGTTCAAAAGAAGTAGCCACCACTATATAAATATTATCTTGACCAAGATAAATAAAATATATGGTTTCGGGAATTTCGGGCGGTCCCCGTTCCCGGTGTGGGCCCCACGTGCGAATTTATTAATCACGCAAAAGAATTAATAAAAGTTCACAACTTCGTATACTTATTAACCATTCCACAAGGTTCAATACATTATTCACTTAAAAGTAAATACATTTGGGGACGGTGTTACAAGTTCACCCCCCCTTATTTGGGATTTCGTCCCCGAAATCCATGTGTCTAATCGAAAAGAAACGGGTATTGCTCCCTCATTGAGACCTCAGTCTCCCAGGTCTCTTCCTCGACTCGATCACTCCTCCAAAGAACCTTTACCATAGGAATCTCCTTGTTCCTCAGTTTCTTCACCTGTTGACCCACTATCTTTACCAGTTCCACCGCATAATGTAGATCTTCACGTATTTCCACCGGTGGCTTTTCAAGAATATGAGACGGATCTCTCACGTATTTCTTGAGCATCGATACATGAAACACGTCGTGTATCTTCTCAAGTTCCGGCGTCAACTTTAGACGGTATGCCACAGCCCCTATCCTTTCAAGGATTTCAAATGGACCAATGTATCTGGGGTTAAGCTTTCCCCTCGATATAAATCGGATGATACCCTTCCAAGGAGAAATCCTTAGGAAGACCCTATCACCGACTTCGAACTCCAATGGCCTTCTTCGTTTGTCGGCATAACTCTTTTTCCGATCTTGGGCAGCCTTGAGTCTGTCCTGAATGACTTTCACCTTAGCCTTGGTGATTTCAACAAGTTCAATCCCTTCCAGCTTGGCCTCGCCAACCTCGTCCCAACACAACGGTGTTCTGCATTTCATCCCATACAATGCCTCATATGGAGGCATGCCAATACTCGCCTGATAACTGTTGTTATAGGCAAACTCAACTAGAGCCAAATGTTTGTCCCAACTTCCTTGGAACTCCAGAGCACATGCCCTAAGCATGTCCTCCAATATCTGTATCACTCTCTCAGATTGTCCATCCGTCTGTGGATGAAAAGCCGTGCTAAACCTCAGTTTAGTACCCAAAGATGCTTGAAACTTGGGCCAAAATCGAGATGTGAATCGTGGGTCCCTATCCGAGACAATGGATATCGGGACTCCATGTAGCCTCACAA